ATAATAATAATTGCAATAATAATAATGATAATAATTTCCATTGACAGTTTCTAATATATATATATATATATATATATATATATATATATATATATATATATATTTCAATTTCTACTGGCAAATTATTGTATGAACGATGGTCCACATAATTGTATGGATCATGAATATCAAATACATTTTTAATATATTAAAAATACATTATTTTTATATTGAAAGTACCTTACATACATATATAATGTACCCTTAGTATGTTTAAAATATACTTTTTATTGCATGCAACCCCAAAGTTCATAAGTTTGAAATTAATATATGGCATAGCTAGGCGGCCTAATATTTAAGATTGTTGATGTGCATATTGAGCACTACGGAGACAAAGATGCGTTATTCGTGGATTCATCGGATACTATCCAACAACACTCTCCAACTTAATTGACGTGAAGCAGGCTTAGTAACATTAAGATTATATTCTCGAATTATTAGTTCTCATCTTTTATTGATTACACACTTAATTCGATAGTATTTGGAAGAAAAAATCAATGTTCGAACTAAGATTGTGATTTTGGTCTTTAAAGGTCAATTGCATGTTGCTACATCTAGAGTTAGAAATCTCAAAGGTCTAAAAATTTTGATCCGTGGTGACTCTAAAATTGTAATTCAATTACTATTGTAGTTTACTAAATTCTTAAAATTTTGTAATATTAAATACTATGTACTAAATTTTTAATATAGTTTAAGATTTGTAGTAATCACCCACCTTAAATATTATTTTAATTGTAAATATATTTATGTTCATAATTTTATCATAGAAATTCACACATAATAATTATTAAATAACCAAAATTTTATATATATATATATATATATATATATATATATATATACATATATATATATATATATATGAATAAACCTCATATAGGGTATATTTTTATAACATATTTTCCGTGCATTGCACGGGACAAATACTAATAATAATAATAATAATAATAATAATAATAATAATAATATGTTTATATAATCAAAAATATATATGTGTGTATATTTATATATTTAGTTTTTTAAATATTTAAGCATTGATATACATTTATACATATAAATAAATAAATACACACACATAAAAATTTTATCTTATCTTATCTTATCTTATATCTTATCTTATCTTATCTTATATCTTATATATATATATATATATATATATATATATATATATATTTATATATATATATATATATATATATATATATATAATAAAGCCAAATCCAAATTGCCACAAAAATTTGGCTCCAATTCCCGCCCAGTTAAAGCTACGACGTTTTGGTAAAATATAGAATTCGATGTATACTTCAATCCCTGCCTAATCCACCGCCCAATGAAATGAAATCAGATTAAATGTAGAATTTTAATTAGATTAAATGTAGCCGCCATTCACCCAATGAAATCAGTGTAAATTGCCTTGGGAATTAACATGCTTTAAAAAAAAAAAAAAAACTTTTAGTATTCCCAATAATACATCGTCGGCCTACATTATTTATTGTTCATTAACCATTCACAAAGCAGTCTCTCATACAAGAGATGTTTAGGACACATTTAAATTGAAATTCCTAGGTGAGATCTAAGCTGTTTCTGGACTGCAAGAAGCTTAGTAGCGTTAACATGAAAAAGTTACAATAGCTATAAAGATACACTTTTCGATGCTGCAGGGCAAAAGCCGAAAGATTACATAGTGCAAACAGCGCACCAGGCTAAAGAGACACTTCCAAAAGCAAGGCCAGCCGCGAAGGATTATTCCTTGCAGGGAAGAAAACATCCGAGGCAAAAGAGTGTGGAGCAGAGATGAGTGAGAGTGCAGGGGGGCAAAAAGTGAAGAGAGGCTAAGGACGTTACGATGGAGAGGGGAAAAGGGGCGTTGGCTACACCAGGAAAGTGGTTGGGGAGCCGCACAGTACAATTAATTGCGGCCATGACTGCACATGCCTTCAGTGTTGCACAAGATAATTACTGTATATACTTTTCATTTGTATTTGCAAATTAAAAGTATATTTGTTCCTTTTTTTTTATGCATCAGGTATTCATTCGTTGGTGCAGTTGAATGCTTCCCGTGCGGATGTGCGGTGGATTAATGTACATGAGATCTGTACTCAATGTGCGTGAGTGTTGTGTTTAATGTGCCTGAGATTTGTACTTAATGTGCGTGAATGTGTAAAATGCAGCAGAAAATATTGATGTCAGCTTCTTCCCCATCTCCAGTAGCCATTTGCTCCCTCCCTGATGATGATGATGCGGAGGCGAACTATGGTGGTTAAGAATTATGGGAATAATACAACAGAAATACACACTTAGCTGCTGTGCAAATTTTACTGTGCGTGCGTCATTTATATAAACATTCAACTGCATTGAAGGTAGCTGATAATCCAGAATCCATGGCCAAATTGAAGGAAGAAGTAACAAGAAGCTTGGGCGTTAATGTGCGTGAGTTTCTATTCTGCTTCCTTCTGAGCTCGTAATTCTGAAATACTCACGCACATTAAGCATAAATCTCACGCACATTAAACACAATACTCAGGCACATTAAGTACAAAACTCACGCATATTAACATGACGCACATTAAGTACAAATCTCAGGCACATTGAGTACAAATCTCACGCACAATAAGTATAAACCTCACGCACATTAATCAACCGCACATCCGCACGGGAAGCCACAAATGCACCTGATCCCTTCCATATATATATATATATATATATATATATATATATATATATATATATATATATATATATATATATATATATATATATATATATATATATTAAGGACATTAATGTAAATTGATTCATATAACCTAAAATATAACCATTAACCAAACAAGGTAATATACACAATCCAAACCAAACACATAAGGTAATCTTACTTTCCCAAAATCTCACATTACCTTCTTGGAGGTAATCCTATTACCTGGGGTAATCCAAGATTCCGTGAACCAAACTCCCCCTAAATGTTAAAATGATGCACCTTAAGCTTTGAAATTATACACCTTAAGCTTTCAACAATACACAAAATTACCATAATGTCCCCACGTTTTTTTTTAAAAGATTTATGTTCATTATGAGTTGTTGGTTTTGGCAAGATCAATGACTGTGATTAATTCACATGTTTCATCTTGGAGAACTTTAACACCTGATTCCTTGTCGTTAAACCTCAAGGTGTCCTGAATAAGCAAACACCTTTAAGCCGTATGCAATGGGCTGACCTAACTAATGGGTAAATTGCTAACCATATTGTTTTTTTTATGAGAAAAAAATTTTAAACTCTCAATCTCTTTTAGGATGAGAATGCACCATCAATTACGCTAATTAAACTTGTTCTCGATCAACTTGACTAAACATTGAAATCAATTTTTTTTTCTATAAACTGGAAAACATTTTTCATTGGGACTTGACTTATTGTTTGAATGCTACTGACTCTATTACATTGTAGTATTTGTCACAAAGAGTCAACAACGCCTCCACTGAGGCTTGATCTCATGACCTCCCACATGAGAGATATCACTACATGTCATCTGAGCACAAGGTGTTTGGCGAAACTTGACTTCCTTAAAGTGAATGAAAATAAAATCCTAACAAAGCATTGGTATTTTGTTTTTCAAATGATTTGGGAATAAAATATAACACAATTGGACTATTTTACCCTCATCAAAATTTATTAATTACACATATATATTAGGGAAAATGGTCAAATAGGCCCTCAAACTTTAGTTAAAGAGTCAATTAGGCTCCTAAACTTTTTAAATGTGCAATTACATCCCTCAACAATTTATTTAGGTGCAATGAAGCCCAAAAATAGATTAATGACCTACTATCACAGGTCATTAGAGTTCAGGCCACCATCCGACGAATTGTCCGAAAAAAAATTGACCGGCAGAATTTCTGACAAAAAAGTGACCAGCGACCGTTCAAGAAGACACCATGGTCACCTTCTCCATGGGTCACCTTCTCCAGCGAAAAGCGACCCAAATCTGGGTCGCTTCTCACCGGAGAAAGCAACCCAGATGTGGTGCCTTCTCCAGTTGAGAAGGTAACCATCTAGGTTGCCTTCTCAACCAGAGAAAGCACCACATCTGGGTTGCCTTCTCAATCAGAGAAGGTGACCTCTGAGGTTGCCTTCTCAACCAGAGAAGGCAACATAGATCTGGGTCGCCTTCTCGCTGGAGAAGATGACCCAGATCTGGGTTGCCTTCTCTGTAGAGAAGGCGACCTCAGAGGTTGCCTTCTCTGGTTGAGAAGGCAACCCAGATGGCTGCCTTCTCAACCGGAGAAGGCACCACATCTGGGTTACCTTCTCCGGCGAGAAGTGACCCAGATTTGGGTCGCTTCTTGCCGGAGAAGGTGACCCCGTAGTCGCCTTCTCCACGGAGAAGGTGACCATGGTATCCGTTCACTTTTTTTTTTGTCGGAAATTTCGCCGGTAAGTTTTTTTTTTTTTTTCAAAAAATTTGTCGAAAAGTGGTCTGAACTCTAATGACCTGTGATAGCATGTCATTAACTTATTTTTGGGTTTCATTGCACCTAAATAAATTATTGAGAGGTGTAATTGCACCTTTAAAAAGTTTAGGGGCCTAATTCACTCTTTAGCTAAAGTTCGATGACCTATTTAACCTTTTTCTCGTATATATTATTGTTAAGGGCATATTGATTTTTATATTCATAATTCCGTACCATTTCAAATTCAATTGAACAATGAAATTCATATTCTCAGTAATTTCTTTTCCACTCACTAAACAATGAAATCTATTTTACTTGTAATTTGTTTTCCAAGGAATTTGAATTTAATTTCCTTTCAAATATTTTTCAGCGAATCAAACTGGCTATTAACTTTATTCTTCTTCAAATATTTTTGGCAAACCAAATAGCCTATTTCACACTTGGTCCCAAGTTGAAGAGAAGAAGATTTGGAGGAAGCAGCAATTTCCTGGTAAAAAAGACATGAAACATACCATAAATTTCGCACACATCCCACGTTGCTGTCTTTTCGCAAGAAACACGTTGTTTAATAACTCCGATGTATATATACAATGCATCCATTATTCACATTCCTTCCTTTCCAGATTTTCTTGTGGCCTCTTCGATTTTTTCTTACCGGGTGGTCTATAGATTTCGGAAACAGGTAGTTATGAAGGCGGGGAAACAAGAATCACTTCCGCATCTCTCCTGTTCATTTTTTCCTTAATATTATCCTCTGATTAATGTTTATTTTCTGACAATTTTTTGTGATTTCTATGATGATTTGATTATTTGATCGTGATGAGTTTTGTAACAACTCAGTCTGGGTTTAGATCTTGAGATGATTAAATGTTGAATTGGTCCTGAAATTGTTACAAATTTGATAATTTATGATCATTTTTGTCAGAGGTTAATTGAATTTACCCACTTTAGACTCCTCCTTATGTTGTTAGAAATGGATAGCACACATTATCATGGGATGATGATCTAGGTTTTGGTAAAGCTTGTGTTTTTATGAGCTAGGTTTTGATAATTAGAAAGTAGAGAAAAATAACTAGGAAAGAAAAGGATTATTATGACTTTTGGAACTGTTATAACACAGCAAGGTTGTGTGGAATAGATCCTTTTAGCTAACTGCCTGCCCATATAATTATCATTTTATGATAAAATTTCGATGATCAAAAGTTTATGTGCATGCTTGTGTGTATGAACTAGCTAGGCATGGTGTATGATAAAGTTTTTAATTTTCGTTTTTGTTTTTTACAGGAAAGAAATAGGGAGTTTTAAATTGTTAACAATTTTAGAATAATGTCTCCAAGTAAGAGGAGAGACATGGATGTCATGAAATTGTGAGTTTACTTTGTTTAATTTCTTTATATTAAGCTTCTGTAGATTCCCGAGTTGTACCCATAGTCTCTTTGACATCAACTATGCCCATTCAAACACTCGTCTGTGCCTTATTTACATGCAAGATTCAAACAACTGCGACTACTTTGGAGCTTAATAAAAGCCATATGAGATTACGAATTCATGGCTACAATGTGTGTTTTAATGAAGATGACTAGCTTAAGAACTGTTTGGAGACTGGATTTTTATCCCCTGTACTGTGAATCATTTCATATTCTCTTAAAATCCTTTTTTTGGTATTTTGCTGGCTTAGTGGTGGCACTGCGAATTGCATATTTGTAGTTCTCTGTTGTGATTGTCTCACACTTTTCTTTCGATTTTTGTCTAGAAGGCTTTCTCTTGACCGCTTTATGTCCTTTAGAGACTAAAATTTCTATCATTGATCTCCCTGCCTCGTTTTTTTTGTGTTGTGTTGATTCAGGATGATGAGTGACTATACCGTCGAGACAATAAACGACGGGCTCAATGAATTCAACGTGGAATTTCATGGGCCGAAAGAAAGTATGACATAGTGCATTCTTTTTACGCCTTTTACATACTGTTTGCATTCTTGACTGCATCTTGATGGATTGGCGTTTGTTGTTTGAGCATGCACTTCTGCCCCTCCTAACTATTTTCTTTTTGGTAATCTATGTTGAAATTGAAAGATCCATAGGCCTGGCGGGTGGAGAATAACAACCACCCGCTAGTTAGGCTGAAGCAGAGATGAAGAAACATAGTACATATATATGTACAGACACATAACTGTTAATTTAAGCACCTATTCATAAACAAACACAAGCCTATAAACAAACATAACCCTTTTGTTTTTCAACAATTTACCCGAAATTTCCTTTAAGCCATTGTAGGCTTTTCAGTAAGTTACATGTGTTAATTTGACTTTCGGGACACTATGCTATGAATGCCATCCTATCTTTACTTGTGACGAGATGAAACCATCTTTTTCGATTTGTAAAATTTGGTCAGTTTTCTTGCAGGTGCTTATGAAGGTGGAGTATGGAAAGTTCGTGTCGAACTTCCAGATGCTTATCCATACAAGTCGCCTTCGATTGGATTTATTAACAAGATATTCCACCCTAATGTTGATGAGTTGTGAGTTAATTTCTTCTTGTGGTTTATTAATGCTCTGTTGAGTCACCAGTCAGCACAAAACAAATCCCATATTTAGAAAGTAAGTTCAAAACAATCGTTATACTAATATTGCTTCCCTTTTCTGTACCAAAAAGAAATAGAAGTTTTACTGTAACATAAACTCGTATTTTTGCTTCTGCAAAATGAAGGAATCGAAGTTGTGTATTCTGTAATGAATTGCAGGTCAGGTTCGGTCTGCTTGGATGTTATTAACCAATCTTGGAGCCCCATGTTCGGTAATAATCAGAAATTTGTTTATTAGAGTGTTTTTGTATCTATATTTACCACATTATAGCAAATTTTCTGGGTGCGTTCTTATACGCAATGGACAAAACTTCTTATCTATGATGAGAATTTGTTCTTTTTTGGTGTATATCGTGGCATTATTGTCTAACCATAATCACTATTGCTACAGATCTTATAAATATCTTTGAGGTTTTCCTTCCTCAACTTTTGCTCTATCCAAATCCGTCGGACCCTCTAAACGGTGATGCAGCTTCTTTGATGATGAAGGACAAAAATCAATACGATGAAAGGGTTAAAGGTGTGAATATTTCTACTATCTATGCCCTCAATTCCTATGCTATTAGCATACCTTTTGTCCTTTTGAGAGACAAGCACTATTGTAAAAATCAACTTAGGCGGCCGCCTAGGCACCCCTAAGCCGAGGGGATTTTACCCTTAGGCGGGCGGACATTTAGTTGGCCGACTAGGCGGCCAACTCGGTCGAGTTTTTGTGTGTGTGTGTGTGTGTGTGCGCGCAATGTATATTGTTGTGTTTTTCTTATTTTTTGGGTGATAAGGGAAACCCGTAGCCACTACCCGAGGGTGTGCAATGGGTAAACTTCGCCTTGTAACCCTAGCCGGCAAAGGACTATAAGGAGGTAAACCAGCCTAGGTTGCACATAGCTGACCAGTTCAAACTAAGAGGGCTAAGATTCAAACTCGTGACCTTGTGGTTACAAGTTTGTATGCTTAACCATCTTGACTGGGGTTACCTCTGTTTTTCTTATTATTATTAAGCGCCTAGGCGCTCTAGGGGGGTGCCCCTAGCACCTTCTACAACATTGGAGACAAGTACGAATAGAATTTTATCATCCTAGCTAAAAGTTTGTGCAGAGTATTGTGAGCGCTATGCAAAGAACGAGAACATTACAAAACACAAGGACGAGAGCGAGAGTGACGGGGATATCAGTGATGGACATTGCACGTCAAGTGATGAAGATGAAATCACTGGATTAGCTGATCCATGATGACAGTGGGGTCGTTAAATGATACAAGCGCACTATATTAACACTTTTGTTGTATGTTATGCATGTTGTATCTTAGGTTAGTAGACTCGGATCGAGTTACAATTGTTAGATATAGAGAGAGGGATCGAAGAATTGTTCGTGATAGTGTCGTGCGTCAGCGACAAATGATGACGACGAAGAAATGGAGGATTTAGGGCGACGGAACAGGTCACAAATGTAGGATGCCAGGGTTTTGTTTGTCTTGTAGAACTTGTACTCTTGTGTTGGAGGCTCTTTCCACTGCAATACTTAGTCTTCTGGTTGTTGAGGTCGGCCAGATTGTTAGTTTATTTCTCTATTGTGAAATGGTTCTTTCATGATGCAGATATATAGGTTTTGTTTTCCATGAATTGCACTGTAGAAAAGTGAAAATAAAAGATTGAAAATTTCTTGTGTTGTGGTGTACACTTTTGGCTTCTTTAGGTTGTGAAAAGTAGTCGAAACTCGTTACATTGTCCACAAAAAGGCGAAATTTCCTTGCCTCTAGAGCTTCTACATTGGTGGGAGTCGGGAGGGCCTCCTACTGTTAGGGCTCGATCTTATGTCTTTGTTCATAATTTACCACTCAAAAACTAACTGATGAGCATTGAATTTCACCCATTTAACAATCGTTATGCGTTGGACCCGTGTCCAGCATGCTTGCTGGACACGGGTAACAGTGCCGTTAGGCACTGTTATCTCTTTTTTTTTTTTTTTTTTTTTTTTTTTTTTTTTTTTAAATTTCAGACCGCTTTGTTATATGAGTATATATTCATAATTTTATTACTATATTATTAATAACTGTACATTCATAACTCCATAACTATACGTTCATAACTCTATAACTGTACATTCATAACTCCATAATTGTACATTCATAACTCCATAACTGTACATTCATAACTCTATAATTGTACATTCATAATTTTCGAAGCTCTATGTTCACAATTTTAGAGCTCTATGTTCATAATTTTATCACTATATGTTCATAATTGTAAGTTCATAATGTTAGAGCTCTTTGTTCATAATTCGATCAATAACTGTACATTCATAATTTCATAACTGTAGATTCATAATCTCATAACTGTAGATTCATAACTCCATAACTGTAGATTCATAACTCCATAACTGTACATTCATAATCTTCGAAGCTCTATATTCACAATTTTAAAGCTCCATGGTCATAATTTTATCACTATATATGTTCATAATTGTAAGTTCATAATGTTAGAGCTCTGTGTTCATAATTTCATAATTGCATAACTGTACATTCATAATTGCATAACGGTACATTCATAACGGCATAACTGTACATTCATAACGGCATAACTGTACATTCATAATTCAAAAAAAATAACGCCGTTAAGACCGTTAACGGCAAAACGCGCGCGATTTATTTATTTATTTATTATTTTTTTTTTAAAACTAAATGACGCGTTTTTTTTTTGAAAAACGACGTCGTTTTGGGCCCGTGTCTACAATTCACTGTGGACACGGGTCCAGGGCATAATTTGCCCCCATTTAAAGAGTGATTGTTGGGTATGTTGGACTTGGGATTATTTAATGACCTATTTACTTCAGGAAACTGTTCTCTTTTTCTTTTTTTTTTTTTATTTTTTTTTCCTATTAACACTCATGTTTTAAAATTTATTTATTTTAAAATAACGTTATATATAACACGGGTTTAATTTTGAGTATTTTTAAATTTTATATTTAAAATATTTTTAGATACATTTGGTTTAAAAATGAAATAAATATAATTTTTACTTTTAAATCTAATATATGTAAGATATTTACATTTATATGCGAATCAAATTTATATTCGTATACAACATAATTAAAAATATGTTATGTTACATTATCACAAGTTTTAGATTTTGAGAACTCAATAGATCATTGGTTCGATCGATATATTTGGATATCAAATGTAAAAATATAAACAATTTTTACATTTGTTATCAGAATACATCGAATCGATGATCTATTGAGTTCAATCAAAATTTAAAATTTGGTGTAATAATGTTCAACTTGCATAAACAAATAAATTATGTTTATATAAGTAATAAATGCGAGTAGAAAAGAATCAAAAGATTAGATAGAAGATGTTGATAAGTAAAAGAAAATGATAATGGTAAGAATGTGGTTATACAACTAGATAGAGGTCAAAGTACCTGATATGTCCATGTACTGTAGGGGTTCGTTAAATTTAGTCAGTGTGCTATGTCCTTGTATTGTAGGGGTTTGTTCAATTTAGTCTACCTTAATTTTATTCAATTTAATCCCTGTACTTTAAGATTTAAAATAATTAAAGATAATATTTAACACTGTTTATTATTTCCGTTAAGTCTGCCCATATGACGTTTGAATTGTCATGTCAGATTGTGTGATTTGGCGTAAAAGAATATTATTCTTTTGACCAAAAGAGGACAAGGACTCAAACCCACAACCTATTGCATTAAGAATGAGCTCTCCACCAACAAGCTACACATTAAACTTGTTTTAGAATGGTTAAAAATATGTAATATGGAGTAATAGTTATTCGTCTGAAGTACTAAAATAAAAAAAATTTAAAAATAAAAAAATAAAAAAAATAAAAATAATAAAAGAAAGAAAAGGCAGATGGTGCAATCTACCGATCTGCCAACTGTAACCTCCTACTCTAAATCTAAATTTCTCATCTGTTAGTTGCGATTCCGTCCGCTTTGAAAATATAGATTGTCAAATCTATTAAGCTATAAATATAATATATGATGTATGTTTGTGATTTTTTTGTTCTTTTATCATTTAGGAAATAAAATATATTATTATATATTTTTAACTATCCTAAAACAAGTTTAATGTGTAGCTTAATGGTGGAGAGTTCATTCTTTATGTAAGAGGTTGTGGGTTTGAGTTTTTATTATTTTTACTCGAAAATCATATTGTTTTAAGTCACATCACAAAATTTGACATGGAAATTCGAACGCCACATGGACAGACTTAATGGAAAAAAATAAACAATGTTAAATATTATCCTTAATTGTTCTAAATTTAAAGTACAAACCCTACAGAGACCTAGCAAGTACTTTGATCTATAGATGATAGAGATTATGTTTTCCATTTAAAAGGAGTTTTTAAATGTTCTCTAGTTTTCTAAATAGAAAATTGTACTAAGTAAAAACGATTGCTATTTTATATATTCAAAGGAATAAGGTTCAAATTGACCACTGAACGTAACCTGAAAATGCAATTAGGCCACTGAACGAAAAAAAAAAAGTGCAATTAGGCCACTGAACACTCCAAAAATGTGCAATTTCACCTAATAGCAGGTTACCCTCAATTTTAGCAGGTTATCTGCTTACGTGGCAGCTGAGTTGGCATTTTTAATAAATTTTAATTAATTTTTAATAAATTTTAATAATAACTTTTTATTGAAAATTTTTTAAACAAAATAAAAACCACTTTATTTTATTTTTTAGTTATTTTTTCCAATTTTTTATAAAATTTATTATTAAAATTAATTATTAAAAATTATTTAAAAATTATTAAAAATGACAACTAAGCTGCCACGTAAGCAGGTAACCTGCTAAAATTGATGGTAACCTGCTATCCGGTAAAATTGCATACGTTTGGAGAGTTCATGGGCCTAATTGCATATTTTTTGAGTGTTCAATGGCCTAATTGCACTTTTTTTTTTTTGTTCAGTGGCCTAATTGCATTTTCAGGTTACGTTCAGTGGCCAATTTGAACCTTATTCCTATATTCAAATTCTCCAGTTTTCAATCGTTGGTAAAATCTTTCTCTATTGTCTGCACCATTTCCCAGTGGCATCAAAGCAATGAGTCAATGAAGAAAACAAAAGAACAATTCCTCCTGCCGGCTTTGCATTATCTTATTTGCCATGACCTTTTCCATTGGAGTTTCTGATTTAGTTGTTTGTGTAATCAGCCAAATGGCAAACTATTACACTTATCAACATCTCCTTCTTAAGAAGAAAGAGCCTAATTCTGCAGGGAAGAAATCCCATTTTTTGTACAATGAATCAAGTTCCCAGATGGGCAATCTTGATCATTACAATGTTGCTGCAAATATCAGTAATTGTAAACTCAGAGAGCGAGCAAGTGAGGCGGGCACTAGTCCAGTTCATGGACCGAATTTCGCTGGGGAAGATCCCCTCGAACGATGGGAATTTCGGGTGGAATCTCAGCTCAGATCCCTGCACAGCCAAATGGAAAGGGATCAGCTGTGACAAAGGGTCACAACAGTATGTGAAGAAGATAGTTCTTGATCACTTAAATCTAAGTGGAGTTGTGGATGCTGCTTCTGTGTGTGCAGCTCAGGCTCTCGGGGTTCTAAGCCTCAACGAAAACTCGGTGATTGGCACTTTACCAGAAGATATATCCAAGTGCGGGAGCCTCACGCACTTGTATCTTCGCCAGAACAACTTCACTGGCAGCCTGCCTGTCTCCATTTCGCGCCTAATCAACCTCAAAAGGCTCGTGATATCGAACAACGCCTTCTCGGGTGAGCTGCCTGCAGACCTGTCCAGCATCTCGGGCCTGCTGACTTTTGAGGCTGAGAACAATCGTCTCAGAGGGCACATCCCGAGATTTGCCTTCTCCAATCTCGGGGAGTTTAATGTCTCTAACAACAATTTCAGTGGCCCGATCCCTCGAATGAATGGCAATGTGAGTGCAAGTAGTTTTATAGGCAACCCGGGGCTATGTGGAGAGCTGATTTCCAAGCCATGCCCTTCTCCTTCTCCTCCCCCGCCTTCGCCTCCTCCTTTGCAGCCTAAAACGAAAGGTCTGTCGTTTTTTGCATACTTAGGCTACGCTGCTCTAGCCCTGATTGTGGTGATGTTACTAGGATTCGGCTTGATCAAACGTTTCAAGCGAAAGAAGAGACAGAAAGGAAATGCCAGGAAGAGGGCTATTGGCACACCAAGAGAGCACAAGGCGAAGTCAGAGTACTCGATCACATCTGTCGAGAGTGGGATGGTTTCGTCGTCGTTTGAGATTCTGTCGAGCCCTCTACTCGTCGGAGGGTTGAGGTTCGAGGACTTGCTTCAGGCCCCGGCTGAAATGCTGGGGAAAGGTAAACATGGGAGTGCTTACAAGGTGATGATTGTTGAGAAAGGAGTAAACCTTGTGGTGAAGAGGATAAGAGGTTGGGACATTCTTAAAGATGATTTCCAGAAGAGGATGCAGAGGATCAATCAAGTGAACCATCCAAATGTTTTGAGGCTTGTTGCATATTACTGCTCCAGGCAAGAGAAGCTTCTGGCTTATGAATATCTGCACAATGGCAGCCTCCTCAACCTTCTCCATGGTATGTTTTATATTATTTCAAGTGTTTTCATGAGAGCTCTTATAACTGAATCTCATCAATTAGCTAGTTTAATCTGGCCTTATAAACTCATAGAGAAAATACCA